AGCCCATACACGCGTTGCAGCGAAGCGAAGGTGTGACGAGCCAGCATATTGCTTAAGGCATAAAGATTTTATGCTAAGTCCATTTCCCTCCTTATTATTCTTAGTTCCATAAATCACCGTGGTTATACGGCAGCGAAACACCAGTCCTAATGGCTGATGTACTGTTGTCAATGATGATGAACCGTTTCAGCAGCTATTCTTCCAATACGCTTTTGCTTTTGTGTGGGATTGGAGCCTGCGGAAAACGACATCAGTTCAACCGGAATGACAGCGAGAGAAAAATCTAAAAGATGTCCACGTCACCGTCCCGCTATGTCTGATTCGTCTGGACGTTGATTCAGCCTTTATCACACATATATCTGTGATACCTTGGTGTACACTCTGTGGTAAGCAGTTTTAGTGATCCATGGTGACTCGTTTCAGTCCGATTTTCGCGATCGTGTCATGCTACTTAGGAGTAGTTACTCGGATTCCTCCGCGAATCCGAATCAACAGATTGCTGGTACTTAAAGTGCACCCTGCAGTTAGTACGAAGGCCTGCGTGTGGCATCATCATCATCATACACGTTAGCTAGGGGTGCGGAACACCTCAGCTACTGTGCCGCAATACATAGAAAAAAGAGCAAAAAATGCAATTGGTGGAAGCTGGCTGAGCTACCGCTAACTGATGGGCATCGTTCCGGTAAGCCACCAGCCGGTTGCTGTGCACCAAAAAAATTACTATGCAAAATTATAAAACGCTAAATGATGAGATCGTAGTTGGAGGGGGAGGCTAAGAGGAATGGGGTGGGACAAAGAAACTCACAGCACAAAAGCCACTGAGGTCGGCTCCTAGCCATATCAGCAAGTGTGTCCAACCAAATGTGTTCATCGTCTTTCGGACCCCAACCAGGGAGCCGAGACGCTCCAACCGAGGCCAGCTCAGAAGTTAGGGCCTTCATTCCTCTCGACCAAGTCATCGCTTGGCCACCCCTCCTCTTCTTCCATCCACACCCCCGGCGCTCAAACAACGCACGTCGCGGGAGTCGGTGGGCTGTCATGCGTAACACGTGGCCGAGCCATCGGAGCCTGATGCGTGAAATAACGGTGCTGAGCGGTTCAGTTCCTTTTCCTGTGCCCTAAACAAGGCGTCGAACACGCTCGTTGCTCACGCGGTGTTCCCACCAGATGTGAGCTAAATTACGAAGGCACCGGTAGTCGAACGTAACTAGCCTCTTCAGGTCCGCTGCTTTAAGCGGCCAGGTTTCACAACCGTACAATAGGGTCGAACGTACCGCTGTATTGTACACTCTACCCTTCAGGGCAAGAGTGATGTCGCGCCGGCGCCGTACGTGGCGAAGGTTAGCAAAAGCGCCTCGAGCTTTTGCTATACGATTCGTGATTTCATCTTCAATCCCACGGGCGCTGATACGAAGTGTTCGTACGCGCCACTCTGCTAATTACACGCGCACTGACGATGTCACCACGAGTGGTGACGAAACGTTTGCAGTCAACCTGCCGAGCTCAGCGAACACTCAGTCCACCAACTGAACAACCTGAGCTACCAACATTTGCTTCCATATGGCAGATGTGCGGTGTTTTATGGGGTCACTGCACCAACGGAACAGCAATTTCCTTGCTGGTCGAACGTGGAGGATCCAGGTCGACAACGGTCGTGTGGTCCAATGGGAATCAAGAAAAAAGTTTGGGCGGCGATCGCAAACCATTATTCAAAAGACTCGCAGTTATTTATAAGGTACATACAGTACTCTGCTGTGGTCCGTTCACTGGCTACATCCTATTAGTTCGAGCTCGCTCACCAGACGGGCCGATCCATGCTTACCGAGCCCACGGTTACGTTGGGCCTTGTTGTTGCCATCCCAGATAGACGGCAAGGTCGCTTCTGATTGGCCGTCCGCTCACTTGGTCGATGATCCCATGGTTGACTACCACAGCGGAGCGTGTTGTTAACAAGGACTAAGGCGTATGCCATCTGCTCGCCGCACAGCCGACTAATCCGTTTCTCATTTGCGCTAGGCCGGACTAGTCGTGTGCACTGGGTTTTCGCCTAATTGGCCCCCGCTCTCATCCACCATCACAATAACCATGTGACCGACTGGTATCTCTCGATCATTGGAGTGCTCTAAAGTCCAGTAATATGGATACTTATGTCCCTGATCGAAATAAACAATGTGCCTCAGCTTCTGCACTTGTCTTGTGCGCTGTTTGCAGATGAGTTGAAAGTGAACACGATGACTGTGAGTGGCTTCAGTGGGACTTTGACCGCCTCTCCATGTCGTCTGCAGAGGTCAACCTTCCGAGAAAAACCGTCAAGTCGCTAATTATGAGGTGGGTAAGGGTGGACACGGTCGAACCTATATTGTGGCCGGTCAACTGTTGCGTTCGACAACTTTCGTGATGAATCTCATTGCGGCGCAAAGTCCGCGGACAAAGCGATTAGGCTTTATCAAAACAAACCTCCTATGCTTTAGGATGCACAAAGCGCAGTTTCTTCAACTGGTCCGAAGAGATTGCCATTCGACTCTTCGTTTCAATAATGAGACCAACGCTAGAATGCGGTTGACCTGCATACTGTCCTATCGCCGGGAGCGAGTTACAAGGGACTGAAAAAATACAGCATGTAGCCACCAGGCTCAGGCCACTTTACGAGGTATGCCCTACGAAGACGGATGCAAGAGAATAGGATGTTGCACCCCGTCCTGTTTGTAAACAGTAGGAGAATTTATTGGGGTTTTATGAAGCTCCGCCGCAGTTAAACTCAGGCAGACAGCCACCACACATCCAGGAAAGTACTAGACGGCCGTTTCGTCTTATTGGGAGTTACTTGCAAATAACCGGTAGTCACCTAAACAGCTTACATGCCACCTCGATTGGTGGCGGCTTTCAAAGGAATTCGTTGCTCTGGGGGCAAGCCCTGTCCTCTGCACGTTCATAACATGAATGACAGTGGAGGATGAATCGCGCTATATCGTAGTTAGATATCAGTCATGGCGGTCCGCTGCCGTCGCCGATGGCTCAGTGGCATAAGTCGCTGGCTCGCAAGAGTAAGATTGTTGGTTCGAATCCAGCAGGATTTGGCGGGTGCGCGCTACCGTTAAGCGCCAATAGACAGAAACGGTCGTCTAGCGTTTTCCTGTATGTGTGGTGACTGTCTACCTGAGTCTAACTGTGACGAATCTTCATAAAAAACGCTGTCTTACCGTTGAGTGCGGTTTGACCTCATCATGAGTTACCGCATACTGCAGCTTGGTGATTACCCCATAATGAGGCCACTCCTCCATTTGCATACACCAAGCATCACACGACACGGATAAAACTCGTAGTGTCGGATTTGAAGCGGGTCGCTCATCAACTCTGCTTCGAAAGGAGAATAATGAATATATGTAACAACCTGCTGCAGCACGAAGTTGAGGCAAAGTCGGTGTCGGAACTTAAGAAATTCCTGGTCAAGTACTTTGCCGACATGAAATATCGGGAATGCTCTCTGACATAATAGGTCGTTGTGTCTATGGGGATTATAAAAACAGCTACACAGCTACACTTGTTGGTGCTTTTGTACAGTAATTAGTATTATTGCACCATATACCATCATGGAGTGGCCATTTACGGGTACAATGTGGACACACGGAAAGATTAGCATATGTGATTCGCAGCCCATAGATGCAAGTAAAACAACCGTTGACTGCAAACGGACTAGATGTGTTCAACTGAAAGTAGCAAAACTGACTGGTGAAGAACAACACATGCAAGATAAGGTAAGAAGAGGAGAGGGAGCAAATGTGTGTCCCGTATATTAGGGGCGGATTGCGTGATGCGTAGATGTGGTTATGGAGTGGACACGCGGCAAAGCACATCGAAAAACCGACAGATAGGTGCTTTCCTGAGAAGTAACAGAACTGACCAGCATGGCATGAGATCACCTTTCTCTCTATACTCTTCGTAGAAGGCGTACACATACTTGGTGTAAGTGTATTGATTGACCTACATTGACAATTTTGATTGCAGCACTAAACCTATCCCCCTTCCTCTCACGGAGGCTATCGCGATAATCCGGATCAGATAAGCATCGCTGGATCAAAAGCGATATAGCAATATTTTTATCACTTGTTGTGAGTCTCGCCTACATAAGCATGATAGTAACTATGCAGGAACATATTAACTCGCGACGACTATCTAGTGAACTGGTGGAAGCAGACAATCGCAGCGCAAAATCCAGAATGCATATACCGATTAATGGAGACAGTGAATAAAAGCATCTAGACATGTAAGTGCTCTGTCGATGATCTAGACGATTTCCATTTAAAAATATAGAACTAAGTCGTGAAACCATGCCCTGTAGTATTCGCGGATTAGCATTGTCTAAGGTGGTAAGCAATGGTTGGTAAGCAATGTATAAATCACATAGAGACAGTCATAGACTGCAAAAGTAGGCCAGAAGAAGTGGCAAAATAGACCGGTTACAGGGACGGAACACCTGAAACTAAGGTAACAAGAGGATAGCTACATAAGACAAAATAAGATGGATCTGCTTTTAGAGTCAGGGTTGCAAATGATATTTGCAATACAACCATTTGAAGCCCTTATGGTCGGAAAGAACGAAATCAATTTAAGATCGCGTACTGCTAACTAAGGGCAAAGTGGGGCTGTGGAACATGAAAATGAGTTAACGAATGTTGTGCTAAACGGAGGCACATTGGTAAAAATGTCAACCCGCAAACAAGATGTCTGGGGCACGGAACGCACGTGCGCTGGTTGCGCCTGAGGCGTGCAATAATAAAGGACGCTGTGAGTAAGCAGCACTAAGTACCCATAAACAGTCAACTATACGCAAGTGTTGACACATTTGAGGGGGAACAATAAACAAAGATTAAAAATGGTGATGAAAAACCGAGATCTCGATCGAAACACTGCAACGCCAAGCGACGGTAAATACTTGGTTACTCATTGCCGCGTAATAAAATAGAGAATAAAATTACCTTAAAATATTTAGAACTGATTACCTGTTCGAGTATATCTGACGAGGAGTGCGCGTGATTTGCATCCAACTGCAAGGGGCATTGGCCGGAGTACAGTGCTTCGATGCCCTCAGGAATGATGATGGCCAGCACGGCGCCCAGAAGTAGGCCAGTTCCAAAAACAGTCATGATCCGCAAACGTGACTGCAGAGAACAGAGTAAACCAGAAGGAAGGGGAAGTGCAGAGGCACACAGAGAAGAAACAAAGCAAAATAGTCTGATTAAAGGAATCTGGGCCCAATTATGAAGTGCGAGAATAGTTGGTTAGAAACCGAGAAAATCGACAATGAAGGAAAGTGCAAGATTGAATAAAGATACCAAACCATAGGAAAGAGGGAAAACGACTCATCAGAAAATATTCGATTAACAAATACAATGACCCACAGGGAGTAATACAAGAAAGCGCGGGAAAGAAAAAGAGAATATAGAAAATAGGTAAGATGACATATTTTACAAGTAAAGGCAAATTACCAAATGAAGAGATTGTGTTCGAAACGATGCCTGTGGACAAATGTGGAAACTGAAGGATCTCGGACGAAGCAAATTGTGACGAGGTTAAGCAACATAGCAGCTAGAATAAAAAAGGATCTTTATACTAATATGTCTATTCGGATAGGTGATTATACAAATATCTTTCGGTCCTCAGAGTGCAAGAGTATCGTCAACGTGTTCGAAGAGCAAAAAAGAATAAAAGGTCATCAGCAGTACGCCGGCACACTGTGCCGACGCTTCGCTGCCAAGCGATCACCACCGGTCGCGCGAGAGCTGTATACCATGAGGACGCCCGTCCCTACGCGAATTCGAATCAGTGACCTAGGGACTGCAAGCCCAGTGTGCAACTCATTCGGGCAATGGCCGAAGGATATCATTGTGTCGCACAAATTAGCAAGATCTTATTTCAAAGCTTTTATGGTTCCAGTTAGAAAAACGTAACCACTTGGATAGGTCAGAAAACCGAGAAAAAGCAGTTCAAACGAATAAATTGTGGGATCCTATGTAGGGCTCCGTATTCTTCTGAAGCTTCGCTACTGAATCCGACCAATGATGAAAAGGCACTGTGTGTCATTGCAGGACAATCACCATGGACTTGACATCAACAGGAAGCGACCTGATTGTTCGCAAAGTGAGGTTAATAGGATGGAAAATACATGATGCAACACGCATTTCAGATATACCCGCACAGATGTTTTCTTGTCATATACACATTAGCACCAACGGCAGTAGTAATAAGTGTTCCGGGATTGCAGCGAGGTGTCATGCACAGCGTACAGGCGAACTACCCAATCTCCTGATGCCAGCAATGCACAGGATATCATTCACTGTAGCACTGATAAGTATGTGACGCAGCAAAGCAAGTTATAGGAATTTGAAATAATTGCGCAAAAATGCCAATCAGTTGACCGCGTCAGTGGTCGTTTTACTAACCAACACACAGTGTGCTCCTTCTGGACCCAACGAACGATTGGACGAATTACAACTTATACCTAACGGCTCACCGCGGTTAGCCACAGTCTGTGTCTAGGAATAATCTCACTGTGGATCCTGTCTAGTACATCGGTGTAGTGTGCACCCTACGACAGTTGGCAGCGCAACAGCGTCGTAAAATGACGCTCGAAATCTCAATCACACAAATACCTCTAATCATCGCTGAAAGATGTAGGCGACGGGAAGTGGAAGTAAACTTCGCAGTAAATTAGTCACCAGATGCACCAAAAACACGAACTGGATTCAGTTACATGAGTGTAACCCAAGCACCGCATGTTTGTTTGCAAAAGCCCATCACAACCACATCAAAAAGGCAATCGAGTGAAAGAAATTAACCTGAGCATACACGAAAAAAAAGAATTGAAGGTGTAGCAAAAGAAGCCGGGTTGCGTTCAACGGATGAGAAGACCGGAAACAAGTTTCACAGAACTAAATGCAATGGAACCCTTAGTAACTATCGCATGGGTTATTGAGAAATGAGACGCTGACAACTGACGGGATTGATCCCGAGGCCCCATTCATAAAGACGTCTGTCACAAAGTGAGTAAAGTTGTTTGGTAAGTTACCCTGTAGATTTCCATTGTTTTAATCCGATTATCTTGTTATTTCTGTCAAGCAGGAGCAATGGTAAGAAAAATGCATGGGGAAAACACGTGGCAAACGTATATATGGTAATTTTACCAAGATAGCAGAGTTCGGCAGTAGAGAATTAATCATTGCACATCTAATGGGAGGCTGTGTGCATCCCGTGTGTATGAGCAGTCCTACAAAGGCAACAGCACGGGAACGAAACCACTACATAAAAGAAAAAAAGCGATTGGTCATATCCCCGATCATCATCAACAGCAGTACATAAGCAAGTTGAACTGATGCTTCGCTGCCATACAACCATGATGACCTATGGAATAAAGAATAATAAGAGAGAGAGAAGCGGGACTTACCGGAAAATCTTAATGCCCTAAGCAAACATTCAGGGTCAAGGCGCTTACACCTTATGTAGACAACATACCGTCACAAACAGCTGGCTACCGTGCAAAGGCGGCATCGGCGAGAAGCACCCTTTCGGCTTTCATCGCCACACGTCATGATCAGCTATTACCCCGCAGATAACTCAGCACCAAACACATTTTAAACAGGCAATCCGACTAGGAAACGGCAGCGAACGCGTCATTGGTGTCGGTTGCGAGCCATGTCCTGTAAAGTCTTGAGCCAAGCACAAGGCGAGTCACGTGGACTCCAGCCCGGAAGACGAGACGAACCGACGGCACTCAGTTTTGTCGTCAGTGACTTTATTTCACGCTGTCAAGTCAACTTCTGTCCACCTCAAACCTTGCGCTACCCAACACCTGGCGGACTAAACAAGGCCCGCCTAGGTAAGCGGTGACCAGGCATCCATAGCAAGTGTCAAAGCCAACGCAACTTATTCAGTGCTATCTGTAGTTCTAGGGAGCTAGCATGATTATCACCACCTAGTACTCGTCTACGCACATCATCGTTGAGGACACGCTGGTGCCATCCGACAGTAGCAATGCTCCACAAACAAGGATGATTAGACTTGAAGGCGTCTCAGAACATCAGACCGAAGAGACCAAGTCTCAATGCCATAGAAAAGGACGTCCCTCGCTGTGGCCTTGGAAACAAGGGCTTTCAGATGGAGGGAAACTCCTCTCTATCGCCAAAGACGTCGCAGGTTAAAGAACACAGTTTTGGTTTTTGCAATGCGTGAACTAACTTCAGTTTCTATGCGCTCAACATTGCTGATGCAGCTGCCAAAGTAAGTGAATTGATCAACCACACAGAGTTTCTCGTTATCTAAAATCAAGGGGTTATCAAGCGGCTGGTGCTCCTGCACAAACATTTTGAACGTTGAAGATGTGAAGTGCATACCAAATAATGGGACCACACTAGACAGACTAATCAGGGTTGATTGTGCCGTCTCAACGTTGTCGAAAAGCAAGACGATATCGTCCGCATAATCCAGATCAAGTAACCTTTCACCAGGCAGCACTTCAACGCTTACATCGTGAGACTGCGCAAGGGAACACTCCATGATAGAATCAACGACGAAATTGAACAAAAATGGGGAAATCGGACAACCCTGACGAACGCCAATTGTGGTCGGAAAGCTATCCAATAGGTCACTGTAGACCCCGACGCGGCCTGTAGTGTTGGAGTATAGAACACGAGATGTTCCCACATTTCGTAGGAACAAGTTTTTGCGTAAGTGCTTCTGACAGAATGCATCGTTTTCTGATCCATACCGTTTGATTTCCTGATAAACGAGGTACTAGATGGTATATCTTTCTAATTTCATTAATCGAATCATGGCCAGCTGCGGGTGATCTGCTAAATAAATGGGGCGTTGTGAAGAACCAAATAGAGTTGCGCCCTCCAGTGTATCGGATGCTGGAAATGATAACAAGCTATTGCTGAAGTTTAATGATAAAGTGCCAACCGCAGAAAGCATGGCGAGAAGAGGAAAACCGGTAGATGCATGTATATCGCGTTGTCTAGTCATCATTTTAGAAATGACCGGCATACAAGCATGTGGCCAACAGGTGTGACAGTACACAGCTTTAGACACATGGGACTGATTGAATGAAACCCGTGATCCCCACCGCTCTGAAATGAAAGAGATCGGTGCAAGATTAATGATGATTTTACGTTAAATCTTCAAAGAGAAGGAAATTCAAGAAGGATCACAAAAGATATAGACCGGATAGAAGCCGTGGGTTACACTTTCCCAGTAAAACAATTTACGACGCTATTGCGATTACATCCATATCGCAGCCCATAACCAATCACTATTTACCGAAGAGGGCCTCATTTTGTTTGCCAGATGTAGGGCAGCACAGAGCACGAGGTGAGCGAAAGTTAACTTGGCAGTTGTAAACGAACTCAGTGACGACCCAGCTCGATGCCGTTGGCCCGTCTCACCTTCCAGGCTGGTCCAGGTGACCCGCTTTGTGCGTGACTCGAGACGTCAAAGCACACGGCACGCAGTCGGCACCATAAGCGTGTCTGCTGTCGTCTTGCAGTTGGACTACTGTTTAAAGTGTGTTTGGTGCCGTTATCTGTGGGGTACTGGCTGATCATGATGCAGCGCAGTGAAAACGGCAAGGAAGCTGTCTCGCCGATTACAAACTACCTTTACACGATAGCCAGCTGTTTGTAACTGTACGTTGAAAAGGTGTAGGTCCCTTGACTCTGAATGATTGCTAAAGGCATTACCATTTTACGCAAAGTCCCCATACTCTCCCACTTATTATTCTTCGTTCTGAAGGTCATCGTGATTGTACGAAAGCGAAGCGTCCGTTCATAAGACTGATGTATTAGTCCTCATGATAATGATGACTTGGGGATGTTTGAAAAAAGGAGGCCATGGCCAAAGTAAATCGGCTGAAGCGCAGGAGAAAGATATGAGCAGGTTGCATGTGCGGTTCGCGTTATACAGCCATCCCTCAAGGTATAAAGGAAAAGGTAAGCATGTATGACATCAGAACAACAAGTTAGCGAACAAGCTTGTTTTCGGTGGCTCTCGTCAGGCTAAAACACCATAACTGATAGGAATAAAATTAACATAAAACAACAGATAATGGTAAAGTTCAACGTTCAAGGTCTTTGGAATGAAAATGCTAAGTAATCAGATCAGGAGTGATCGATGACTTATCGGCGGCACGTCCCTCAACATGAGTCGTTGTGATGGCGGGCCAGGGCAAACACAGAATCTGAACGAACCGTTTTTGAGCACATAAGTCTGGGTTCTGGTGGCAGATAGCAATTGCCTCAGCTGCTGCTAGTAAACGACATTTTACCGCTCGTGAAAGGCGTCCAGGTACACGGTAAATGGGTTGAAAAGATTGGCGGGTGTCGATTTGGTGATTAGAACCAACCAAGTGTGAAAACACACGGCGCTCATCACAGTTTTCGCCTACCACTGCGTAGATTAGCTGGACAATGATCACGTATTCTCTCAGACAGCCTCCTAGTAGTTCACCCGATGTATCTTGCTCGACATGAACAAGAGAAGGAATATACGCAGTAAGAAGTACATGACAAAGGAAGTCTGTCTTTGAGTTGAGGCCTCACAATTGGTGCTGAAGTAAAACTTAGCCGCAAGCTCGCTGCGTAGTAGGTATGGCTCATAGCGTCGGATAATCTTCTAAATGTTGCCTGCGCTATACCATCCAACTTGAACGGCAACGACAAATAAACCGGTTTCTTTTCTACCGAAGCTGGTTTAGCTCTCATTTCTCTGCACTCCATATATTTCCGAATAAATTTTTCTGGATAGCCATTTCTCTCGAAAACGCCACTTAAGAAACTGAGCTCGTCCGCAAGTGTGCCCTCACTACAAATCCTTCTGGCCCTTTCGGTTAGACATCTAATGAAGTTGCGTTTCTGATATATTGGGACAAAACTGGCAAAATGTATATATTATCCGTTCCACGTTGCTTTACTATGCACCCTCCGTTGGACCGATCCATCTGGTCTTCTACTAAGCTGAACTTCTAGGAAGGACATCGTGTCATTGCCTTCAGTTTCTAGGGTGAACTTGGCATTAGGGTGCGCTGAGTTAAAATGGGATAAGATTGTCTCTGGACAACAGTGCCTGTCTGTCACACAAAATATGTCGTCCACATATCGTCCGTAATATGGTAGACTGGTAATGACTCCGCTCAGATAGGTATTCTCTAATCTGCTCATGAACACATCAGCTAGTAGCGGTCCAAGTGGTGAGTCCATTGCTACTCCATCTATTTTGTCTGTATATGGTCCCGTTAAACTGAAATTGTATGTTACTCTTACACAGTAAGAGTAGCTGTTTCAATCGATCACTTGAAAGGCCGATACCCAATTGATGGTCTCGAACGGTGTCACATTTATAGTCTATTGTCTCTTCTAACGAAATATTGGTGAAGAGCGACACCACATAAAACGAAAACATCTTTCTTCCAGTTAGCTGAAGCTCTTATAGAGTCTAAGAAACTGAATTTGTCTCGTAGGCGGTACCTGGACATAATATTTCTCACCGGCTCTAGAAGCTTAGCTAACCACTTGGCTGTTGCGTGATACGGTGAATTGTACATGTCTAGTAGGGGCATTAATGGAAGTCCTTCCTTAAACACGTTCGGTAAGCCACAGAGTCTCCGTGGCTGGAACGTAGTCCGCTCCACACTGAGTGCATGGAAACCACTCTTCGAGCCTAGCACGGCCACAAGGACCGTGCACCCCGTCCCCTCCACCAACGAACAACTGTTTCCTGGAGCCAGTATGAACGAGGTAGTGGGTAATAGACAGGTAGGCACCTTGTCAACATGCACATCAAGCGCAGCCACACCGGGGATATCAAGCAACAGCCAATCACCTACAATGACAAGATGAAATAAAATAAATCCAAGAATGCATACAGATACGGTGGCATAACTCTTCGCTAAATTACCATATGAAGTAAGTTGGTCAGCAACAAATCCGTGATAAGTAAGAAATGTCCACAAGTTACTTAAAATGCTACAAACGCAACAAAATTACCGAAGGTAAGCGCAATTAATGTAAGCAACGTGGCCCGTTAATTGAACATTATTCAGATAGGCAGAACAAACCAAATAAAGTGGAATGAAATTTATTCAGCTTAAAAAGACCTAGTTTAAGTGTAAGTTGGTTTAGCCCAACTGCGGTGAAGAAGCATCAAGAATGCAACATCAGCCTCAACATATATATATATATATATATATATATATATATATATATATATATATATAACAACAAGTTACCAATAAAATATTGGCGGGGTGCCACAACAAGTGGATAACAAAAAACAAAGAGCAGGGAGGAAAGTAAACGGAAATACAGTCAGGGCGCGGAAAGTTAGACAGCAGAGCAGTTAAAATCGTCGAGTTAAACCTGCGTATGATTGATGTTTCCAGCGTCAAAAGGCAGCGAAGCTAAAAGCACGCAGAAGGAAGAGATATGAAAGGCAGACTATCTCGTGAGAGTTTACAGCCCGTGATAGCCTGCGCACATGAACTGTGTGGCTGGCCTAATAGGAAAAGAATTGCTTTGGTTGCCGAAAGGTTAGAAAACAGCCAGTTGGTGTAGTTTGTGGACAGCATTTCGCCTTGGACATTAAAGTTTCGTCCGGCAGTGAAGAAATTGTGTAGCGTTCATAGCAAACTGGAAAGATAATAACCCTGAGCCAACAAATGAGAGCGCTGGAATCGGCCAATGACAGCATATAGGGCCTGAAGGCGGTCAACGATAGCATCCCACTAGCCTCTGGTAGTTACTGTTAACAGAATGGTATCTGGTAAAAGAGTAGTTACCAAAGTTTTCTGGCTCAATCGTAAGGTTTGTAGAGGAAATATTTTGAGAAAAGATTCGTATCAAATATATATATATATATATATATATATATGATTGGCGGCATCCGGTTTCGGATTTGCCTGTCACTGTGGCCAGCCACAGGACACCTTCGCCTACAGAGGGACCATGGATGACTTGCGCAGCACCACCCACAGCTCCAACCACACACCCCATATCCAGTGTAAACCCGAAGGAATAAGACCGGGAGGCATGCGGATGGGATCCACGTTTCATCAACGGAGCCGGCCCACACTCCTTCACAGGCAAACACAAGCACATTGTATTTGGGAATCAAGCGCACACAAGGCGGTGGCTGGACCATAGTCCGCTCCACACTGAGTGCATGGAACCACTCTTCGAGCCTAACACGGCCACAAGGACTGTCCACCCCGTGCCCACCAGCAACGACCAACTGTCTCCTAGAGCCAGTATGGACGAGGTAGCGGGTAATAGACAGGTAGGCACCTTGTCAACATGCACATCAAGCGCAGCCACACCGGGAATATCAAACAACAGTCAATCATTTGAGAGAGAGAGAGAGAGAGAGAGACAAAGAAAATAACTCGATTAATGCATAAGGAAACGGCGACATAAATCTTCCGTTAATGAGAATATGAAATAAGTTGTGTACAAACGGATCCTAGATACGTTCACGAGGTCAGAAAGTATACTTTACGGAAATGCCATATATATATATAATTAAAAATGTTGTCTTAGTGTTACTTTCTCATCACCTTTTGTTGTGTATCTGAATAATCTATTAAATTACACATTTTCCTCAAACTAAAGGTGGTTAACTTCGCATATTTTTCTCTCCTTACATATATGCCTTGGCCCCACTTTCTGCCATCCTGAATCTGTCCTGGCTATTTTGACAATCCATTTATTTCACAAGCCAATGTAGCGGTATATCCTTACAGTGTAATCGACCTATTTTATTCGACAGTCCATTTCATGTGACTGGCTGTTGCTTGACATCCCAGGTGTGGCTGCGCTTGATGTGCATGTCGACAAGGTGCCTACCTGTCTATTACCCACTACCTCGTTCATACTGGCTCCAGGAGACAGTTGGTCGTTGCTGGAGGGGACATGGTGCACGGTCCTTGTGGCCGTGCTAGGCTCTAAGAGCGGTTACGTGCACTCAGTGTGGAGCGGACTATGGTCCAGTCACCGCCTTGTGTGCGTTTGATTCCCAAATACAGCGTGCCTGTGGTTGCCTGTGAAGGAGAGTGAGCCAGCTTCGTTGATGAAACGTAGCTCCCATCCACCTGCCTTCCGAGCTTATTCCTTCGGGTTTACATCGGATATGGGGTGTGTGGGTGGAACTGTGGGTAATGCAGCGCAAGCCATTCATGGTCCCTGCGTAGCCGCAGGCGCTCTGTGGCTGGCCACAGGGACAGGCAGATCCGAAACCGGATGCTGCCAATCATAACTGAAAATCGAGCATAAACAAGATGAAGTCAGGTGATTGTACTCTCCGCCTTGTACCAAGAAGAAATGTTAGGAAAGCACCAGCACTACGCCGGTATGTGGTATCCACGATCCGCTGGCATCTATGCACTACCAGTCGCGCGTGGATTAAGCATATTGCGAGGGTTGCCCGGTCCCCTAGGTAGGCTCGTACCGGTGACGTCCGGGTGCAAGATAAACGCCTTACCCTATCGGTCGACGGTCGGTAAGAGCGATTTCGACGATAAGGGAATTTGGCAAAATAAGAAAGATTAAAGGAGTGAAAGGAAAATAAGTGCTATCTTAGCACGGATACGTCAAATGTTGCAAAAAATGGGAAGGCATCAGATGTACACAAGCACTCAATACTGACTCTGGGCAATATGCAGCCGTAAGCTGTGGTGTGTAGGTTAATACTGCAGGGACGTGAAAGCCCACGTAGAAAGGGGGAAATTGGACCAATTGCACAAAATTGTGAATGCCCAAGTAAAACGCTACAAAATGCAGGTAAAACTCACTGTGGGAAAATTAAAGGACATTGGAATACATCCTGCTAAGTACGCTCCAAAAAATAGAACGACATTCAGTAGGATGAAGGCCAACATCGGAAATATAAAAGTACACGGCCGTTGGAGTCAGTTGGTTGCAAAGCTGAAAAGAAATTTGAGTGTAAGAGTCAATGAAGTCCTTTGATGGGGCAATGAAAGGTACTTATAAGCGCAAGATAATCAATACAGGAAAACCGAAAAGAAAAAGCAATAGCAGCAGTATCATCATTCGCATCAGTCGGACATCGGCAATCTGAACTGATTTGTTGCTGCTGTACAACAACTAGCACGATGAAACGGAAGGTAATAAAATGAAGAGAAGTCTAGTGCAAAATTGGTGCGTCCTAAGCAGACGTTCAACGCTACGGTTAAGGGAACCAGCTTATAGAAACCCAACAAAATGCTTTGCAGCCAGTTACCTCAGCGGAATGTCGGAGCAAACCAGCTTGGAGCATATTGACCAGCAGCAAGTAAGTGAGAGCGCTTTTCCGTTGAAGACGGAAAATGATTTTATTTTTGGCTTGAAGCAACCTAACGAGGGCGTTCACTCGTCTCTGATAGTTTCCCATAGCCCAAAATTTTCTTTCAAGTCATTTCTACTGACTATCATCTACGCTATAATTTCAGTACCACAACTGAATGTTTTGTTGAGGTTGTTACCCATTGATCTGGGAAGCCGCTGGACTTTAATTCGAAAATATCTATCAGATTTATCCGCACTATTAGCGAGAATGCAAAAGGTTTTAGCGACAGCAGTAAACTTAATCAATATCTCGATTACAGCAGAAGACAAGAGCCATTTTGCTATAAAAGCAAAGTTAGTGAGTTTATTTTGGTCCCGATGCAGGGTTGATTTTTGATGCAATGTTCAAGCGTTGTGAAGAGATTTCAAAACGGAGCTAGTAGGTCGAGATGATGCATCATAAGAGGGAGTGCTGTTGCGGAGGCTCGGAACTGTCAAGTACGACAGACACATCAATTTCATTTTGCACAAGGGTACTCTAGACTTCAGCTTGGATGAAACAATCTTTTGATTAAGGGAAATGTTCGGTGATCAGACATTGGTTTATAACTAGCTGTATAAATGCCACATATGTACAAAACGGACAGCGACAGTCGTATTGTCCATGCAGCAACAGTCAAGCGGGAGTGCTTCAGCCGAGCCGGCCTCGTAAGCCACGTGGCATGTGAGCCACATCATCGCTGCATTTGGGATGTACGTATGCATGCGTGTTGGGTTTGTTGCATTTCAGGTGTTGGCTGTTCACCGATATCCTCGGTGTGGCTGCGCTTGATGTGAATGACAAGGTGCTTAACTGACGAAAAACCGCTATCTCAATCACACCGGCTCCAAGAGACAGCCGGTCGATGCTAGGGGAGACGGGGTGCACGGTCCTAAGAACCATGCTGGCCTCAAAGAGTGATTCCATGCATGTGGTATGGAACGGGCTACGGCCCAGCCATCGTCTTGTGCACGTCTGGCATGCACGACTACCTAACCACACAAAAATGATGCTGCTGTGCATGTGGAAGGGCTGGCTCCGTTGATGAAACGTGACCCCCATCCATATCATCATCAGCAGCAGCAATACAGGTTAGTTAAGGATGAAAAACGCACCTCAGCTAATGTGCCGCAATACAAAAAGATAAGACATTAAGCAGTGTAGACTTGAAAGCTATAAAAATATTAACAAACTGCTACTACCACGTTTGTGATCGTTGTTGGAGGGGGAAGTTAAGGGAAAGGGGAGGGACAAATGCTCAAAACACAAACATCACTGAAATCGACTCTTCATGCCGGCTAGTATATCCAACCAAACGTGTTCATCATCCTTGGCTGGCTTGCCGAACAACCTCCTCGTGGTGCCAGCTGGGTGGTTCGTGATTTTCCCGCTCCAGCAAATGGTTCGGCGGCAGTGTTCCAGGACGTGGTGGGTTTTCGCCTGACAAGCGTTCTCCCTATAAAAAGCCACATATGTCCGTTTAACAACACTGTGACGTGGCGGACGTGACTCGCCACTAAATAAAGTCACTGCCCCTTGCTTCATCCTGGCGAAGCATTGTATTCCAGCAAGTTGATGCTGTAATTTCGGGGAGCATTGGGCCCCTGTTTGGCAAAGGAACAAAGGAAAGGCGTATGAACTGATCAATCAGTCACCGGCTCCCAATGGGCGCGATTCCCTGAATTCGCTCCGCTGCCTTGTGGACAGGCTATTCAGCCAAAGGCTCGGGGTGGTGTCCCCTAAGTCAACACCCTACTTCGGCTTGGGCAACCGGGTAGTATTTCGCCCTCTGACGAAACCATGGACATTGTTGTGTTGTGTTTTCTTTTACTATTTCTGTACCTTGTTTTGAGTTCCATGGTTTCCGATGGTGCAATGTCTATTCATAGACTGTTGCAAATATATGTTCATCATCCTTTGGTCCTCAGTCAGGCAGTCAGAAAACACCAACCGACGCCAAATTCGAGGTGAGGAACTTCATTCCTCTCGACCAGGCCATCGCTTGGCCTCCCCTCCTCCTTTGCCATCCACACCCAAGGCGTGCAAACAACGTACGTCGCAGAAGTCGGTGGGCTGGCATGCGCAACACGTTGTCCAGACATCGGAGCCTGGTGCATAACGGTGCTGAACAGTACACTCGCTCTTCCTGCACCAAATACGCGGCGCCGGAAACGTTTATAGCTCACGCGATGCTCCCACCAGAAATGAGTTAAGCTGCGAAGGTACCGATGATCGAACGTAACTAGCCTCTTTATGCCTGTCGACTTGATGGGCCAAGTTTCACAACCGCACAGTAAGGTTGCACAGACGGCTGCACTGTAAACTCCGTCCTTCAGAGCGAAAGTAATGTCAAGGTGGTGGCGATAAGCAAAACCTCATTGGTTCGTGATCTCATCCTCATTGCCATCGGCGCTGATATAGCTGCCTAGATACTTGACGAGGACTTCTATATGATCAACGCCAAGGGTCAGTACAGGAGTGGGTCCCCGCCAATGGTGAACTTTGAATTTCGATGGTATAAAGCATAGCCCGAAACGACTGACAACCAGAGCTAGCGCAATTTGGGAGCGCAATCGTCAGCCTATTTCAAGTCGTTCATTCATCATCATTATACACCTTAGCTAGAGATGGAAAACACCTCAGCTACCGTGCCGCAAGACATAACAAAAGAAAAACACTACATCTGCATGCCAAGTGAGCAGAGTAACGGATAGAAAGCGTACCAGCCGGCTACAACGCAGCAACAAACATTAATTAAGCAAAATTTGTATTATGCTGATATGAGATCGCGATCGGAGAGGCAAGCTAAGAGGGAAGGGACAAAGAAACTCACAAAACGAACGCCATTGAGGCCGGCTCTCAACGAGGTCAGCAAGTGTATTGAGCCAAACGTGTTCATCGTCTTTCGGACAACAACCAGAGAGCAGAGAAGCTCCAACCGAGGCCAACTTCGAAGAGAGGGCTTTCATTACGCTAGACCAAGTCATCACCTAGCCACCCCTCCGCTTCTTAAGCCCACACCATAAGGCGCGCAAACAAAACACCTCACCGGAGTCGGTGGACTGGCATGCGCAACACGTGGTCCAACCATCGGAGGCTGGTGCGGGAATTAATGGTGCTGATCGGCTCATTTCCTTTTCCTGTGTCATAAATAAGGCGTTGAACACGCTCGTAGCTCACGTGGTATTCCCCCCAGATGTGAATCAAACTGCGAAGTCACCGGTGGGAAAATGTAACTAGCTGTAGTATGTTGCATTTCTTGTACCATGTTGCTCTCAGTATTTTTCGTAGTATGAATCACGTGCAGTTTTTTTGCTTTTAGCCCATACTCGTAGTCTGTCATGATTAAAGCCTAATCTACGGAGCGTTTGTGTTCTCGTTCAATTGTCCTACGTTGTATCTGATTTCTTATTTACTACAATTTAATCATCTGACAAAACAACGATGGAACGCTTCCTTCGACCGGAACTTTTCGCCGCCGATCCTAACTCATCAGATGCCTCCGACGCTTGGACCCATTGACCTCGCACTTTGAGCAATTTCCTGGATTCAATTAACGACCTCTGTCCTGACAAACTGAAGATACTGGTTAACTAGCTTTCCCCGTCTGTTTATCGCCACATGCCTGATTGCCAGGAATATGACGTTACCATTGCCAAACTGGAATCACTGTACATACAACCGAAAAACGAAGTTTTTGCATGTCACATGGTTTCTACTTGCAACCAGAACGTCAGTCAATCCGTGGAACAGTATCTGCAAAAGATTCAATCGCTCGTTAAAGACTGTAAGTTCCAGACCGTCAATGTGGAACAACATAGGGATGAATACGTGCGGGACGCCTTCATCAGTGGACTCCTATCACATTCTATTCGCCAGCGGTTATTGGAACATAACACGCTGGACTTGAAGACAGCGGTCGATCAAGCGAAAAAACAGGAAATGGCACAGAAACAATCGGGTGCCTTTCGTGGGCCTATTGACCACACAAACAGCCACACGTACGGAATTCCATCCGATGCCCAGTGCGCGCCCAAAGGAACCGCCCCTTCTATTACTCCGCTTGTTGTCACCGGCTCAAACTGTTTCTTCTGTGGTTATGCACGTCATCCACGCTCTCAGTGCCCGGTTTGCGATGCTATATGCAAGTCATGTGGGAAGAAAGGCTATTTTCAAAAGGCTGGCAAATCGCGCGGATCTTACAAGCACACATCGCCTATCCTGTCCTCCTCACATGCGGCGGCGGTGCCTGACTGATAAGTGTAACTACTGACGTTGTTAACGGTGTACATCTCCGAGCTCTAGTTGACAATGTAAGTTCTGAAAGTTACGTTTCCGAAAGATTCATTCGTCTTCATCGGTGGCGCATCGGAAGGTCACAGGTGCAAATCGTCTTGGTCTCCACGCGGCACACAAGTACGATTTGTGGTCATTGTTTCGTCTCTCTGAAGCACAAGAACACCTTCTACCCGCGCGTACGTCTCGCAGTACTTCCAGATTTGTGTGCAGATGTCCTGAAGTCGCATAGGTGCCTCGAAATCCTTTTTAACGATGAACAGCCATCATTTTCGCTTTGGTCACTCGCAGCTGCTCGTATCGA